TTTATTTATTTATTTATTTTTGGTCTTTTTGAGACAGGGTCTCTCTGTAGCCCCAGCTGTCCTGGATCTCACTATGTAGACCAGGCTGGCCTTGGCCTGCCTCTGCCTCCCGAGTGCTGGGATCAAAGGCATGTGCCACCACACCTGGCTCTTTCTTTTTTAAGAAAGCAGGTCTCACTATGTAGCCCTGGCTGGCCTGGAACTCATTATGTAGACTAGGATGGCCTCAAATTCATAGAGATCTGCCTGTCTCTGCCTTCTAAGTGCTGGGGATTAAAGGCATGTGCCACCACACTGGACTTTGAAACACTCTTATTGTTCCACACACTCACAGCTGCTTACTCTGACTTTGTGTTTCAGCCCTGCCCCTGCAGAAGACACACCTCCCCCATTGCCCCCCAAGGTAAGGTCCTGGGGACCCTGAGGTCAAGTTCTTTGATGATGGGACACTAAACTTTTAGTGTTTGGAATCAGGGTGTCTGAATATTACAGAAAGTTTAGAGTTTGGGGTACAAGATGGATGTACAGCAGCTCAGCTGGAGCTGGGTATGCTGGTGCATGACTGTAATACTTGCACTTAGGAATTAGAGACAAGAAGATCAAGAGTTCAAGAACATCTTTAGCTACAGAATGAGTTTAAAGCCAACCTGGGCTACATAGTGACATAGTGAGATCCTGTCTCAAAATAGTATGTAAGGGGTTAGAGAGATGGCTCAGTAATTAACAGCACTGGCTGTTCTTGCAGAGGACCTAGATTCAGTTCCCAGCACCCATATAGCAGCTGTAACTCCAGTTCCAGGTGATCTGATGCCCTCTTCTGGCCTCTGTTGGCATTGCATGCATGTGGTGCACTTACATACATGTAGGCAAAGCACTCATAACACATAAAAATCATATAGGGACTAGAGAGATGGCTCAGCAGTTAAGAGCATGGGCTGCTCTCACAGGGGACCCAGATTTGATTCCCAGTATCCACATGGCAGCTAACAATCGTCTGTAACTCCAGTTCAAGGGGATCCAATGCCTTCTTCTAACTGACATGGTCATTGGGACACCAATGCATTATATATGCAGGCAATACATATATGTAAGTGTACCACAGGCATGCCTCGTGCCCACCTGGCCCAGAAGAGGTCATGGGATGTCCTGGAATTGGAGTCATAGATGGTTGTGAACTGAACCCAGGTGTTCTTAACTGCTGACCACACTCTCCAGCCCCCACTCCACATTTTTAAAAGCAGGGCTGGAAATCTGCCGTGATGGTGATAGTGGGATCTGGCACATAGGTGATCCTGGCACATAGTTGATGTGATGTCCAGCATTAGCCCTTTTGTTTCTAGAGTGAACTGGTATCCCTCCTGAAGAGGGTGTGGGTTCTGGGAATGACTGGAACCAAGGTGGGATGTCACAAGGAGGTTTAGAGCCATGGCTAATTCTTGATCCCAGGGAAGACAGGGAAGGGGTGTAAGGGGGCCTTCTCTCCCAAACCATTTGAAACATTTCTTCCATATTCCTCTGTCTCCAAAGCCCAAGCTCCGCTCTCCATCAGAGGATGGTCCTGGAGGCATAGGAGACGATGGACAACTGAGCCCAGGAGTGCTGGTCCGGTGTGCCAGTGGGCCTCCTCCACGCATCCCCCGTCCTGGGCCACCCCCAGCCACCCACAGCCCCAACCTCTCAGCCCACTCAGGTACCAGGATGGACTTGGGGGAGGAAGGTGGGGCAGGTGGAGATCTTGGCATCTAATCTTGCCTCAATGTCTCTCAGAACCCTCCCTGTGGAGTCCAACTGTTCCGGAGCCTGGCCAGCCCCCACTGCTTCCCCCTAAGAAGGAAAAGATGAGGAGAAAGGTGAGAGCCAGCCGCAAGTCTCGGGGTGGGCTGGGGAGACCCAGTGTGAGACAGGAGGGCATCTAATAGGTGACATTTATTGAGCCTTTCCTCTGTGCCAGTCACCAGTCTTGTGTGTGTGTGTGTGTGTGTGTGTGTGTGTGTGTGTGTGTGTGTACTTGTGTCCATACATGCATGGAAGCCAGAGAAGGACATGCGGTGCCCTGATCTCTCACTCTTCACTGTATTCCTTTGAGACAGAGTCTCTTACTGAACTTGGAGCTAGGATGGAGGCCAGCAAGCCCCAAGGATACTCCTGTCTTTGTCCTATGTGGCCCTGGAGTTACAGATACACAAAGCCATGCCTAGCCATTTACTCTGAGTGCTGGGGACTTGAACTCAGGTCCTCATGCTTGCACTGTAAACAACCTTACCCACTGAGCCATCCCCCTATCCCTGATCTTCTGTCTTTATAAAGTATAAACCTTCATGATAGAAATAGATGTTACCAGCTGGGCTTGGTGGTACATGCTTTTAATCCCAGCACTCGGGAGGCAGAGGCAGGCACAAGGCCAGCCTGGTCTACATCATGAGTTCCAGGACAGCTGGAGCTACAGGGAGACCCTGTCTCAAAAACACCGAAAAAAAAAAAAAAAAAAGAAATAGATGTTACCTACTATGTGTGATGGCCCATACACTCAAGGAACTGAGGGAGGAGGATGGAGAGTTGGAGGTTTGGGAGTGTGACTGAGTAGTAAAGGATATGCCTAGAATTTCTGAGGAAGAGCTGGGGCCTTGGGACACTAGTAGAGAGCTTGCCGAGAATCCACCAGCAAGGGGTTAAGGGTGGCTCAGTGGTAGAGCACCTGCCTAGAATCTTCCAGTGAAGGGCTGGGGGCGTGGCTCAGAAGTAGAAAGCTTGGGTGGCATGCACAAGGCCCGGCCCTGTACTCCATCCCTAGGACCTGAAAAGGTAGGGGTAAGATCAAGGGGAACTTTCTAGGCAAAGTGGGTTACATAGTGAGACTGTCAAAAAAAAAAAAAAAAAAGATTAAAAAAATGAAAGAGTAAGAGAGGGATAAACAGAAAGACAGAAAGAAAGTGATCCTAGAGACGTCCGTTTCTATTTCACAGATGGAGAAAGTGAGGCACAGAGAGGTAAGGAGCTTGCCAGGGCTGTATGTATGACAACCCCTTCATCTATGGAGGGATAGTAAAGACCTCCAGTGATGATGCCTCAAACTGGATAGTACCAGATCCTGTTGACATTTTCCCCTTGATATACATACATATGATGGATTTGAATTGAGAGACACAATAAGAGACTTACAACAGTGCTGGGCATGATGGCACATGCCTTTGAGTCCAGTACCTAGGAAGCAGAGGCAGGTAGTAAGTTGGAGGCCAACCTGGTCTACATAGAGAGTTCCAGGCCAGTCAGGACTACATAGTGAGACCCTGTCTCAAAAAAATAATCATAGCCGGGTGTAGTGGCGCACTCCTTTAATCCCAGCACTTGGGAGGCAGAGGCAGGTGGATCTCTGTGAGTTCAAGGCTAGCCTGGTCTACGTAGTGAGTTCCAGGTCAGCTGGGCCTACAGGGAGACCCTGTCTGAAAAAGACCAAAAAAAAAAATCATAAAAAATAATAATCATAAACAGACTTACAGTGACAGTCAATAACCAAATAGGATAGCTAGAATAACATACTATGAGGTTGTTAGGTTGTTTTTTGTTTTGTTTTGTTTTGTTTTGTTTTTTTTAGCCTCAGCTGGCCTAGAGCTTGCTACATAGACCTGGCTGGCCTTGAGCTCACAGTGATCCGCCTGCCACTGCCTCCCGAGTGCCAGAATTAAAGGCATGCACCACCACGCCTTTGCTATGAGGTTTTTTAGCAGCCCAAATGTAGATTATTAAGAAAAAAAGTTTTAGTTTTTAAAAAAGTTATTTTTATGCATATGAGTTTTTTTTTCGGGGGAGTCTTTTGAGGCAGGGTCTTCCTGTAGCCCAAGCTGGCCTGGAAATCACTACGTAGACCAGGCTGGCCTCGAACTCACAGAGATCTGCCTGCCTTTGCCGCCCACATGCTGATATCAAAGGTGTGCCCCAGCACTCCTGGCTATATGCGTTTTGGTTTATTATTTATTTGTTTGTCTTTTTGAGACAGGGTCTCCCTGTAGCACCAGCTGGCCTGGAACTCACTATGTAGATCAGGCTGGCCTTGAACTCACAGAGATCCACCTGCCTCTGCCTCCCAACTGCTGGGACTAAAGGCATGTGCCACCATGCCCTGCACATGTATGAGTTTTTTTAAAACTTGCATGTATTTAAGTGCACCTGTGTCATGTCATGCAATGCCTTTTGGAGGCCAGAAGAGGCCGTCAGATCCCCTGGACCTGGAGTTATGCATGGTTGTTAGCTACCATGTGGGTACTGGGAAACAAACCCAGGTCCTCTGCAAGAGCAGTCAGTGCTCTTAACCTCTGAGCCAGCTCTCCAGCCTTTGTTTTGTTTTGTTTAGTTTTTGAGACAGGGACTTAAGTACCTCAGGCTGGCCTCAAACTCATGTAGCTAAGGATGATCTTGAACTTTTGATCCTCTACCTCCTGAGTGCTGGGATTATAGGCTTAATCCACCGTATACAGCTGATAAAAATTACTTGTAATGACTCCCCTTGTCCTTTATTTACAATAGTGCTCTGCTCACTAATAGTTAATAGACTCTTGTCCTTGACTCACTAAAAGTTAACAGACTTCTTTGGACTTGGTGTAGAGGCTGAGGAGGGGGCAGTCTACTCTGCTGGGAAGATGACTGTCCTTGGGATGCCAGGGCAGGTGTAGCCCCCCTTTTATGTTTCTAGGTACATCAAGGGAGGTCTGTTACTGGGCCAGTCTCCACAGCTTTGGATGTGCTGTGGTTGCTTTCTTACCATTATGAAGGGAGAATTCCTATGTATTTTAAGTACTACTTGAGCACTTATCATATGTAAACTCAGTGTGAACTTCAAATTTGAGCTTCCAATAAAAGCTCTCAAGAGGGCAATGAAAGCACTCTTGAGCAGATAAAATGCCCAGGGTCCCCTGGTCTAATTTCAGTTTTCGGGAATGGACAGTGTGGTAGGTTTCTATAGTTACTTGAAGCTGGTAGTCTATGTGAGTAATCTCAGCACTCAAGAGGCTGAGGCAGGAGGATTGAAAGTTTAGGCCAGCCTTGGTTACATAGCAAAATCCTGTCTCAACTTACCCCACCCCCCAAAAAAACTCTACCCAGATGTGGTGGTACACATCTGCAGTCTTACCACTTAGGAGATGGAAGCAAGAGTTTAGAGCCAGCCTTGGCTACATAGAGACTCTAAGGCCAGCCTGGACTACATGGGATTCTGTCTCAAAACAAAACGAAAAAAAGAAACAAAACATGAATTTTTTATTTTTGTAATCCATGTAATTTTTTTTTTTTTTTGAGACAGGGTCTCACTATGTAGCCCTGGTTGGCATGGAACTTGCTTTGTAGACCAGGCTGGCCTGGAACTCACAGAGATCTGCCTGCCTCTGCCTCCTGAACCATGTATTATTTTTGGACCATGCTTGGCTAGAGTAAATGGTGGAAGGCAGAGCCACAGATTGGGGGGGAGGTCACACACCTTTGCGGTGCAGGCAGGATTTGAACCCTGTACCCTTTCTTGAGTCTTAACCATTGCACATCCTGTCCTCTGCTCCTGTTGTTGGTTCTGTTGCCTGTTGCACATGGTCATCCAGGGATGTGCCCTTCTCGTGAAGTTATTCAATGGCTGCCCCCTCCGGATACACAGTACGGCTTCCTGGACACACCCATCCACTAAAGGTGGGTATTCAGGAGGCCCAGGAGAACCTGGGGAGGGAGGCCAGGTAGGGAAGGAGGGGCCCTAATGGAGGCTCAAAGATAGGCACAGGGAAGGTCTTTTGTTAAAGACTTTTTAAAAATTATGTGTATATGTGTGGGTTCATGCATGTGAAAGTGGGTAACCATGGAGGCCAGAAGAGGGAATTGGATTCCCTGGAGCTGGAGTTACAGGTGGTTGTGAGCCACCCCATGTGGGCACTGGGAACCAAACTTTGGGTTTTCTGCAAGGGCAGTACATGGTCTTAACTGCTGAGCATTAAGAGTACTGGCTGCTCTTACAGAGAATCCAGGTTCGGTTCCCAGCACCCACATGACAGCTCATAACCACCTGTAACTCCAATTGCAGGGTATCTGATACCCTCTTCTGGCCTCTTCTTGCTTGTACATGGTGCACATACATAATACAGGCAAACACTCATACATATAAAATAAAAATACTTAAATCCTAAGAAACTCCGAGAGACAGAGACATCAGAGTAGATCAGTCCTACTGGCTAGGAAAAAAACCTGTTGGGGTAGCTGAGATTGAGGGTCTATGCTCAGTGCTGGGAAAGAAGGGACAGATATTAGGGCACTTTGGGAAACAAGTCTGAGGTTGGTATGAAGAGGAGTTAGAGGATCTGGGACAGAGGGACTGCCAGACACTGGCAAGTCACAGATGGGGCTGTGGAGAATGGCTTCAGGGACTGGGAGGGTTTGAGTTCAGATATGAAGAGATAGAGGCTGGGGGAAATCAGAAGGTTAGGGGAAGGGCTGGGGTGGAGGGCCAGTGTTGTTCAGATGGGCATAGATCTGGGAGGTCCCCCATGATGAGAGACCCCAGTGATCTCATTGTCTGTCCCACTCAGACCAGCACCTGCTTCTGGGCGCAGAGGAAGGTATTTTCGGATTGAACCGGAATGACCAGGAAGCCACGCTAGAGATGGTGAGGCCGTGAACAGTGCCTGGGCTGGGCCAGGTGGGAGAGGGCTATGCGGGTATCACAGAAGTCACCCCACACTCTGCAGCTCTTTCCTAGCCGGACGACCTGGGTATACTGCATCAACAACCTCCTCATGTCCCTCTCAGGTCAGCCTGTGGGCTCGGGGGAGGGCTGGGATCAGAAGTTAAGGGGTCAAGATGGGGGAGTGGATGAGCACAGCTGGGAGAGGGAAGCTGTGTCTTTTCCATCACTGAGCCTTAGGAACGTAACGGTAGAGGACTTCTCCCTCTGAGCTTCAATTTTCCCATCTATGAAAAGAGCTCAGAATAGCCTCCACCTCCGAAATTAGTTGGTCATGAGGTAACTTTTGTAATAAATTCATCTTTAAATAGATTTGACATTGAGGAGATAATGAGAACTTATTCCTACTTTACTAAGATAGACTAAACAAGGTACTGCTTTTTGTTTTGTTTTTTGAGAGAGGGTCTCCCTATAGCCCTAGCCAGCCCAGAACTCACTATGGAGATCAAACTGGCCTATGCTGCATAGAGATCCACCTGCCTTTGTCTCCCAAGTACTGGGATTAAAGGCGTGTATTTCTAAGCTTGGATCTTCTACCACCCACCTATTTTTTTTTAAGATTAACATTTTTAGTTATGTATATGTGGGTGTGGGTGTATGCACATGTAAGTGCAGGTGTCTGTAGAGACCAGAGGTGCCAGATCCCCTGGAGCTGGAGCTACAAGTGATTTTGAGTTGCCTGGCACAGTGCTGTGCTGGGAATCGAACTCAGGTCCTCTGAAAGCTCTTAACTGCTGAGCCATCTCTGTAGCCTCTCCCCCTCTTTTTTGAGACAGGATTTCCACTATGTATCCCAGACTGGCCTTGAACTCACTATGTAGTCTAGGCTAGCCTTAAGCGTGTGACAGTTCTCCTGCCTTAACCTCCAGAGTGCTGAGATTACAGGCACGTGCCATCATACGATGCCTAGCCTAGATAGGTTTTTACTTACATTTTGGTATGTGTGCCAGGTATGGTGGCAGATGCCTGTAATCCCAGCATTTAGGAAGTGGAGGCAGGAGGATCGGGTGTTCAAGACTAATCTCAGCTACATGGGTGAGGCTAGGCTAGCCTGCGCCACATGAGACCTTGTCTCTTTTTTTTTTTTTTTTTTTTTTTTAAAAAAAAAAAAAAAAAAAAAAAAAAAAAAAAAAAAAAAAAAACAAAAACCCAAAAAACCTCTGTTGCAACTTCATGACTAATTTCCCTGATTTCTTGTGTGGCTACTGGAATGCACTGTACCACTTTCCAGAGCCAGCCACAGTGCCTGGAGGTACACTGGTCCTTTAAAATGTGTCCGGTGGGAAATTCATGAATGGAAAGTGAGATTTGTAACTTTGGGAGTTTCAAAGAACTGGGACTAGCCAGGGGATGGGAGACAGGAGATGGTATGGGGTGGTATAACTGCTTCCTACCCCCCCCCATACATATACTGTAGGAAAGACTCCCCACCTGTATTCACATAGCATCCTGGGTCTGCTGGAACGGAAAGAAACCAGGACAGGAGGTCCCATACCTCACATTAGCCCTCACAGGCTACTGGCAAGGTACCAGCTCCAAATGACACCACAGACACCCCATGGGTTCCCTTGCCCAGACTGACTACTAGTCAGTGACCACTCACAACTCTCCCGTCTTCAGAAAGAACATGGTCTCCACCAAGATCCAGGACACCAAAGGCTGCCGGGCTTGCTGTGTGGGTGAGAGCCCGCCCCAGGGTGTGCTGGGTGAACTGGGAGGGGAAAAATGTAAGGTGGTCTGGACCCCCAGGGAGAAGATAGGAAACCCTGACTCTCTCGTCCACTCCTACAGCCGAGAGTGCTGGCTCTGGGGGCCCTTTCCTGTGCGGGGCTTTGGAGACATCAGTAGCACTGTACCAGTGGTACCAGCCCATGAACAAATTCCTTCTTGTCCGGGTAAGCTTCCCAGGGCGAGGATGCTATGGCTTGTGCCTCTTTATGGACAACTCGATGAAAGCCCCCTCCACAGACCTCGCCCCCTGCATCACCCAGAGACATTCTGAAAACTTCCCACCCGCAAGACTAGCCACTCTGAGGGACCAGGAAATGCTGAAGTCCCGGGCCTGCCGAAGGCCTCGCCCACAGCCTCCCTGACCCGCCCCTCCCTGTGCTGCCCGCAGCAGGTGCTGTTCCCGCTGCCTACGCCGCTCCCGGTGTTCGAGCTTTTGACGGCGCCAGGCTCGGAGCTGCCGGCCGTGTGCATAGGCGTGAGCCCCGGGCCTGCGGCACGCTCGGTGCTCCTCCACACCGTGCGCTTCGGCGCGCTGTCCTGCTGGCTGGACGACCCCAGCACTGGTGAGTGGCGGGTGTGTGTGTGTGTGTTCCCCTGGAACTGGAGTTACACTTGTTAGCCCCCATGAGGGTGCTGAACCCCGGTCCTCTGCAAGAGCAGCCAGAGCTCTTAACTGCCGTGCCATCTCTCCAGCTCCTAAAAGTGTTTATTTTTGTATGTTATGAGCGTTTTGCCTGCTGTGTGCAATGTCTGCATAGGCCAGAAAAAGGTGTCAGATCCATTGGAACTGGTGAGGGTTGTTAGCCTCCATTGGGTGCTGGGAACCAAATCTGGGTTCTCAGCTGTTCAGCCCAGAGCTTATTCTTTTTAGAGGGAAGGGTCTGAGTATTGGTGGCTAAGCCTAAGCCAATACCGAGAGAGGCTGAAACCCGGTAGGCACTTTTTATTCAGATTGTAACAGGGCAGGGCCCATGTGGAGGGTAGGGCTGGCTTACTTGGGACCTGAGGGAAACCTAGGGGTAGCACTGGCTTTCTTGGGCTGGGGTGGGTTAGTTCTTAAGCCTCTCCCTCTCATACAGACCACAAGGGACCAGTGCAAGTGACTCAGGTGAAAGAAGACATGGTGATGGTGTTGATGGACGGTAAGGCCTCCTCCCTTACCTTCCTGGTCCTCAACCCAGGACTTAGTGCTCCTCTGGCCCCTCATAGTTCTTAAAGGCCTTCCTCTAATTGCTTCTAGGCTCTCTGAAGCTAGTGACCCCAGAGGGGGCCCCAGCTCGGGGGCTTCGCACCTCTGAGATCCCCATGACGGAAGTGGTGGAGGCTGTGGGTATGTGCTGGGATGGCAGGGCCTGAGGTCAATGGTGGAGACTCTGTGATCTCAAGGGTCATAGGTGCTGCTTTCTCTCCAGCTATGGTTGGGGATCGACTCCAGGCTTTCTGGAAGCATGGCGTGCAGGTGTGGGCTCCAGGCTCCGACCAGGTAGGCTCCTCCATACCACACCACTGCCAGCCCGATCCGCAGCCTTCTGATTCGTCAGATGGGCTTGGAGAAACTCTGGGTCAGGGCCAGGTGTCCTGCAAGGGAAGCTTCATCTAATTCCAGTTCAGATGGGTTCCTGGGTTTGATCCTTGATCTCTGAAGACTCAGCCTTATCTTGGACCACTGGGTGACCTTGTGCAAAGGACTTTGCTTCTCTCTGACCCTCTTCCACAACTGCAAAATGGGGGTCTCTGTAGAGACATGTGGATGGTTAAGAACTTTGACCAAACTGTCTGGGGTAGTGTCAAGCAGAGGGACTTGGGCATACGTCCTCATTTTCCAGTGCCTCATTGTCCTCATTTGGTAATGGAGTGGAAATGGGCTCATCTGATCCAGCAGAGTCAGACTGCCCTGGCCCTTTTATTTACTTTTTACAATTACCTATTAAATGTGGCACTAAGATTTTGCAAATTAGGAATCAAAGTGGTTAAGTAACTTGCTTAAAGTCACACAGCTTCACGGATGATGTTGGAAAGAATGATTGTCAGGGTCAGACTAGACCTCAGGATGTTTGTGGGGAGAGAAGTCTCGACACAGATACGTGTGTTTTCTCTGCAGCTGCTACAGGAGCTGAGAGACCCCACCCTCACCTTCCGTCTGCTTGGCTCCCCCAGGTATGGTGGTGGGGACATGAACAGAGGAACCTGAGAGGGGGGTCCTGGTGTGGAGAAGGCATTCTGAGGTCTTTGGCCTAGAAAGTTGATTGTCTCCCTGCCTCTACAGCTCTGTTCCTGTACTCTGTTCCCTGCACAGGTGATGGCTCATGCCTGTAATCCAAGTACTTACTTGGTAGACTGAGCAGGAGAATTGGGAGTTCAAGGCCAGCCTGGGCTGCATAGCAAGACCCTTCCTCAAAAAAAAAAAAAAATCAAGCCAGGCATGGTGGTGCACACCTACAATGCCAGCACTGGGCAAAGGCAGGCGAATTTGTGAGATCAAGGCCAACCTGGTCTACATATAGAGTTCCAGGCCACTTGGGGTTACAGGAAGACCCTGTCTAGTTTTCTAGAATGTCCTTCAGTTGGGCTTGAGGTTCTCAAGTCCTGTGTTAGGTGTTGGGCCCTTCTCTGTGCTTGATGTCAGGGGCACATGACGTCAGCTTGTGCCATTACTGGTGATCATAATTCTCATCATGTAGTTGAGGCGAAGACCAGTGCTCTCCACTGTAAAGTGGATCTTTTTTTCATGTGTAATAGTATTTTTGAAGAAGGCATGGTGGCTCAAGCCTGTAGTATTAGTACTTGAGAGGCTGAGGTAGGAGGTCATGAGTTCAAGGCCAGCCTGGGCTATAGAATGAGTTCCAGGTCATCCTGGGCTACAATGGGAGATCTTGTCTCAAAAAACCAAAAACCAAACACAAATTTTAAAGTTCAAATATAGGATTGGGGATGTGGCTCAGTTGGTGGAGTGCTTCCCTAGCATGCATAGTCCTGGGTCATATCCCCCCAGCACCACAAAGGGCAACACATGCCTCTAATCCCATCACTCAGGAGGTTGAAGCAGGAGAATCAGGAGTTCAAGGTGCTAAAGTACTTAGCACATCAGAGGCTAGCCAATCTCAAAAAAGAAAAAAAAGAAAAAAAAAAAAAGAGGAAACAGAATCCAAGTATGGGGCTGGAGAGATAGCTCAGTGCTCTGTTAAGAGGAGCATCTAGCACCTGCGTGGTGGCTCACAATCATCCCTAAGTCCCCTCCTGACCTCTGTGGACATTGCACACATGGGTGCACATAAACTGACAAAGGCATACACAAAGAAAATTAGTATAAATAGGGGCTGGAGACCTCAGTGGTTAAGAGCACTGGCTGTTCTTTGAGAGGATCCAGGTTCGGCTCCCAGCACTCACATGGCGGCTAACAGCCATCCGTAACTCCAGTTCCAGGGGATCTGGTGCCTTTCTTTGACCTTCATGGGCATTGCATGACACGGGTGCACTTATATATAAGCATGCAGTATACTCATACACATAAAAAAGAAATAATAAATATTAAAAAGAATTGAAGTATAATATGACTATTGCACTGTCTTCCCTGCAAACACTCCTATAGGTTCATGAGAAACACTCAATCTGACCACAGGCTATAAGGCATGTCATCTCCACTGAGCCCTAGCCTTGCTCCCCTGCCAAGCCCTGACAGAGGCTGTTCTCTGTCCAGAACACCCTTCCCTGCTCTGTCACTAAGTTCCCTTTTGAGGCTCCATCAGTTCCGTAAGCATTCTTGGGCAGTCTTGGCTGACCTGGGGTAGAAGCCCCATGCCTCTCTGCACTGATTCACAGTGGAAGTGTGAGCTCTGTGTGACCTCCTCAAACGTTTCCTATAATGGCTATTGTTTTGAGACAGTGTCTCTTCTAACCCAGCTGGTCTTGGATTTTCTTTTAAATTGCATTTTTTAATGGGGGATGTGCCACAGTATACATGTGGAGGTCAAAGGACAACTTGTGGGAGTCAGTTCTCTTTTTCCACTACATGAGTCCTGGAAATAGAACTTAGGTCAAGTAACAAACAGGCAAGCAACAAATCTGCTGAGCCAACTCACTGGCCCTCTTTCTTTTTTAAAAAAGATTTATTTCGGGGCTGAAGAGATGGCCTAGCGGTAAGAGCACAGGCTGCTCTTCCAGAGGAACGCAGGTTCAGTCGCCGGTTCCCACATGGCAGCTAACAACTGTTTGTCTCCAATTCCAGGGGATCCGATGCCCTCTTCTGACCTCTGTGAGCATTGTATTTATAAATACACTTAACAAACATGCAGGCAAAACACTCATACAATAAAGCACCTACTTTTATTTTATAAATTTCTTTTTTTTGGTATTTTTGAGACAGGATCTCCCTGTAGCCCCAGCTGGCCTGGAATTCGCTATGTAGACCAGACTGGCTTTGATCTTACAGAAATCCACCTGCCTTTGCCTCCCAAGTACTGGGACTGAAGGTGTGTGCCA